AAAATATTCGTTTTTAAAAAGTGTGTGATATAATTTAAAAACGTAATTAATCCAGTCGGCGGGTCGATAAATATGAATTCAAAATACATCTGAATCCAACAGAGAAATAGTTTTTTCACAAATATATCAAAAATGGTGGACTTTATCAATAACACTTTAAAGAAATTTTTCTGTAACATTCATATTTCAACTGGTGAAGGCTATGGAAGTTAATAAAAAACCAAATACATATAGGGTGCAATTTATTGTCGAGCCTAGTGATGTGAGGCGAGAATATTCTAGGGTAGAAAATTTTCAACGGTAGTTTTCTCATAATGCTTTAAGGGGCACGGTGTAAACGCGACCGAGCGTTGTCATCGGATATCGATTTTACCGACCAAAACGGACCGCAGGGAATCCCAGGCATGTATTTGTAATTCTGCGTGTCATAAAGTGCAAACAAAAGACAGTATAATAATTATTTTCTTTTAATGAACACATAAATCGGCAAAATGAATAGGATAAGGGGTAATAAAATAACCAAACCAAAAAGTAATGTGTCGAATTACTATAATATAAAAAAAACTTGAGGGAAAACCAGTTTATGTTTGCACATTTTGTGCAAGTGAATATGTTAAAAATGCAACAAGAATGACACTTGTAGAAGTGTCTGAAATGTCCCAGTGATATTAAAAAACACTTTAAAATAAGAGAAAGTCTAAATATATCCATTGCTTCTCCGATGAGTACTGCAGATTCATCCTTGAAAGGTATGTAAATATTTAGAAGAGAGTATGATGTATGGTAAACTATATATTTGTATCAAAAAGCATTTAAAAAAGTAGCTGAAGAGGTATAATAAGTTTGTTGTATTTTATTGCCTGAATAGATATTTTATTTAAAAATAAATAGTGATGGGTTTACTTTAAAGGATGTGAGTGTAAGGGGAGGAGGGCAAAATTTAAAAATTAAAGCCTTATTACACGGAGGGTGAAAGGGGCTTTACTGAAGTTGAATTCAATTCAAGTCATAACAAAACATTTATTTTCAGATCAGGGTGAAGTGGACGAGGCTTCAACTTCGACAACTGTCAGCACAACAGTTAGCGCATCAACTTCTAGTTTACGTAGGTTTATGGATTTCTCAAATAGAAAAGAGCAAGCACAGTTGAAACAACTGTTTGCAACGGCAATTTATGCTTCTGGAACACCATTTGCAATCTCGAAAAATAAACATTGGCAGTTATTCTTTCAAAAATTAAAGCTAACTTTTAAAATGCCTTCACGACATTGTTTGTCTAATAAACTTCTAGAATCAGAATACGAAAGAATCGCAGCCAACATAAAAGTTAAAATATGGAAAGCCAATGCTCTGGGTCTGCAGTGTGATGGTTGGAGCAACAGAAGAAACGAGGCCATTATTAATTTTATTATCACCACTCCTACACCTGTTTTTTAAAACTTTTACTACTGATACAAATCGACATACTGCAGAGTACATGGCAGAAAAAATAGAAGAAGTACCAATAGAAATAGGACCAGAAAATTTCAATGTTCTAGTGACAGTGCCAGAAATATCATTCATGAAAAGTATAAACATATATATGTTTACGGTTGCGTCGCCCATACACTCAACTTATTGATAGGATACATCTCAAAAATGCAAACGATGGCTTCCATAGAGGACGATGTTAAAGCTATCGTTAAAGAAATTAATAACTCTCATCTTTTACTGGCCACTTTAAAAAATCCAAACTGAAAAAAAAGGAGATAACTGTGCCAATATCTTTGAAGTTACCCGTCAAAACTCGTTTGGAATCAATTATTTAGTGCTTAAAAAGTTGGCTTGATACTAAATATGCCCTTAAAGCTTTAGCGCAGTTTGTGAGACTCTAGATAATATATTGATCAAGCGAGTAGGAAAATTAATTTTAGATAAAATATATTCTGGGTACAAGTGTTGAAGTTGTTCAATTTGATTAACCCCACTGTTGAATATATAACCAAACTAGAGACAGCTAAGTGAAGTAATATATTGTTTTTATACCCTAGAAAACATTTTGAAACGGCGTTACTTTCAAGTCCCCTTACGAAGCAGGAAGAGTAATATATCCAGGAATTTTTAGCAAAAAGAAAGCATACTGCCATACACCCAATACATTTGGCAGCTAATATATTAGACCCGCCTTTAAATAGTGTTCATTTGAGCAACGAGGAGCAAATTCAGTGTACAGAGTTTATTGATTATTTAGCTATGGATCTAAAGGATTTTTTGCATACGTTTTAAGGTCTGTCAATACACTAGAACACGATATTTGGTGGAAAGGAACCTGTTTTGGGACAAAACTAAGCTAATTAACGGTTCAAATTTTAGGAATGCCTGTAACTAGAGCTGCTACAGAAAGGAACTTTAGCACATATGGTTTCATTCACTCCTCAAAAAGAAACCGACTGACTGCTGAGCTAGCCGGTAAAGTTACTTTTATAGTTCATAATTTGAAACTATTGGACCAGGACCAGGTATCAGCGATGTCCAAGCCCTCCAAGTATAAAGAACATGAAGAGAACCCGTCTACTTCGCACTACCAGTCACAGGGTGGTCTTGGAGAAACAGAGGCAGTGGAAATGATATTGGAGTCTTACGGGAGTGATGGGTCAGAGTCGGACTCGTCAGAGGATAAAATTAGTGATGGTGATGTGGACAATTTTTCTGACTCAAATTGATTTATTTTTTTAAACTTAATTTTGTTAGATTTTATTTTACATTTTTTATGCTTTTGAGAATTATATTTTATGTTTTTTTTATTTGTCGTCGAAAACGGAACATAAATGGTTTTATTTTGTTATTGTTTATGCTTCATCATAAATAATTCTTTAAAGTTTATTTAACATGAGTTTCAAAACTGTTTTCGTCAGGAATCGTTTACAATCAAGAGCGCTCACTGGTGAATACTGTCGTTTTTGACTTAAATCGTTACACGATAAAAACAATGTAAATCATAGTATTTTTGTTGTTGCTGGTGAGAGTTGTTAAAAGATGTATTGAATATGCCGCTCGAGTTTAGATAGATCTCAGAAAATTCTCATACTCGAGAATTTTCCATCACTAATCGAGCTACGAGGCTCTCCTTTTGTGAGGTCCTCAACTTTTCTGTTTTATAAACCATTCCTCAAGCGGGGGATACTTGAGGAAGAATAACATCTGACAAAGTTTTATTTCTTTTGAAATAAAAAGCACAGAAAAGTGTGTATTGTGTCATAAATTTATTATTTTGTATCGTGTTTTTTGCAGTGAATTTTGATCACAATTAATAAAGTTGAAACTCATTTAAAAATTTGGAATGGCAGAAAAAGAAAATCGAGTAGACTTCTATTATTTACAGTTTGTAACTCCTCATCAATAAGAGGTAAAATATTTTGAACTGTATCTCTTGAAAATCTATAGCTAGACACAAATCCTCGTTCTGAATGACTTTCAAATGGATTGTCTTGATATGAGGAATCATTTCATTCTTTACCAAGTCTACTTAATCTATGAACTCTTCAAAATCTTCCATTTCGTAATAAAATTCGAACAAATTCTATATTTTAACCTTAAAATCGGTGAAGGATGCCTTAAGGTAGCTCGAGACCTACCTTGATCTTAAGGGATCCTTCGACGATTATAAAATACATTTTGCTCCTAAAGAGGCCTCAAGGATCAAGGCCCGACTATAATTTTACCCATAATACTAAGTGACCAGGAATAAAATTCAGTTCTTAAAAAATCCTAGCAAATATGTATTAAAAATTGTAATTTATTTTTTGGCAAAATAATAAAATAGACAAATACGGATTTATCTTTAAAAAAAAAATGTTGTACATATTATGTCTGCCATTTAGTTAGTAAAACCCCAGCAAAATTACTTTTAATTTTTGGAAAACACTCTAATTTCATTTCGAGTATGCTCCGTTAACTCCACAATATTGACTGGAAGGACGATGTATATGCACATAAAAAACAAATGTTGTAAGGTCAGGTGACCTTAGAGGACAGGGATGTCACCTCACCACGTTTGGAGGTGATGGTGCTACGGTATATACTGCACGACTGTCCACTAACGCTCATCTCCAAACTTGGTGACATTCCGTGGCCCCTAAGGTCACTCGACCAATGGATTTTTTCTGAGGGTATCTCAATAGCCGCATATATATCCACCCTCCAGTCAATATCGAAGAGTCAAAGAAGCATATTCAAAATGAAATTAGCGTGTTTTCCAAAAATTATAGAGTAATTTTGCAGGTGTCTTCTTACGAACAAGATGGCAGACATACGGGCAACATACTTTTTAAATCGTAAGTCCGCATTTGTTTATTATTTTACCAATATTATAATCTTCAATACAAAGAAACTTGGCACCAAGAATATTCAATTTGCTGCTCGATATCTATAAAACATATAAAAAAACATTAATGCTATAACATTAATAAAAAAAGCATTTAACATGTTTTGACTAGATAGTTTGAGTCATATTATTAGAAATGTATTAAACAATTAAATAAATATATAAAACTCTATACTATTCATAAAAAAAATCATTTAAAAAGTTTCTACTAGATAGTGCCAGGCATAATATTTAATATTTAGGGAATTCATTAATAAATGAATATATAAAAAAATAACTTAATAAAGTACCGTAAACTTGTAGATCTTAACTAATTATTAAGAAAAGATAAATATTATTTTTCTGTAAACGTCCTACTTTTCATCCTACAGAGCAATAAAGAGAGAATTTCATGAATACATAATTTTCTAAATATCTTCCCTTACGACAAAGATTTTAACTTAAAAATATGTATATGTTAATTAATCTCCATTATTAAATAACACACTCTATTTCGATAAGTTATGAAAATCTATTGGCATAGAATTAAGGGCTCAGGAAACAATTTTAATCCAAAATTCTTGATACACCCTATATTTCATAAAAGTTATGATTAATAATTATTCTTCGCGAAAATTGTCACAAAAAAGGACTCTTGGTTGATCTCTGTAGAACATTTTATTTCCGAAATTTTTCACTTTTAGTCCTACTCAAATATTGACCACAAAAAAGGTGGGCTACCAATAAAACAATTCCACTCAATCCTATCTGTGTTGGAATCAAATGTAGCAAAAAATGATCAGCCGACTGGAATAGATGTAAATAAAATTAAGACCCCTCTTCTTTACTTTACTATATTATCAAAAATGTATGCATCTTTTTTTTTAATGAAAGCAAAGTTCTTTAAAAATAAAATACAGTACGGACTTTTCTGCAAATGCCGCAATTAAATATTTACCACACTGGAATAATCTCATGTTTAATTCCTTTAAAAAAAATCATTGAATTTGCCGCCACTCTGCAATTGGCAAGAAAATATTCAATCAAACTTATCCAGCGTTTCTTCCAATTTCGAAACAACGTTTTTATAAAAATTTAACTGTTCCTGTAAGAAAGTTTTCATAGCCAGCCTTAAATCGGTGTCCCTTTCATTTTGGAAATGATTTAATTCAGCAAAAACCGTGTAAGTTAGAACGTCAGCTCGTCGTCTGACGTCTGCTAGGGCGGTTTGAGGCACTTGGGAATTTCGTTCGCACTCTTTTTTCTTCTGTTCAGAAAGTCTTTGGAGGTTAAGGACGTCTGGTAGGTCACCGGTAATGCCTTTATAGATGTACATTTTATCGAACAGCGGTTGCCAGTCCATTTTCGCTTGTTCTTCGTATAATTTGCCTATCATCATGTATGTGGAACCAATATTTTTAACATCTAAAAAAAATTACTCTTATTTCTTTGAAGTTTTTAAACTGTACAATAAAAATAGATAATTCCATACTATTTTATTTTCAATATTCAAAAATTTTTAACCACATTTACAAAAACAGAAATGAATTTTTTAAATATTTATACGAAAATTTCTTGTGAATTAATTTATATTATTTATTTTTGAATCAATCTAGCGTAGAATTTTAAATTTAGCGTACTCTTCAAAATGGCGGTGAGAACACCGTTTATATTATCAAAATACAATTAAATCAGTTTTTACATTGAGCACATTTTCATTAAGTTACACACAAACAAAATTATTTATACAAAAATAAAAAATAATGAATTAAGTTAATAACTGAAGTAAATAAAAAAACAATTAAATATTAAAATTTTATAACTACCGATCGACAGATTAGAAACCAAATATTCAGTTTTTCTTTTTGACATATACATTAGTTACCATTAGCTTTAGCTCTACTAAAATTGATGGCTTTGTATTTTACTTAGTATTGAATGATCACAAATATAATTTCTTACACATTTGTTTATTTTAATGAGTTCTACAAGTAGATAAACTTTTAAATATCCCTGTATAACTTGTAAATAAAATAAAAAATGTACTTACCTACAGAAGCTTTTGAGTACATTCCCTGCTGATTATATTCAAACGCAGAACCTAGTGCGAAAAAACTTTCACCTATCCTCATGAACTCCCTCTTATACATATTAACACACTTTTTGTGCTGATCCTGAGCCGTTTGCATAAGATTTTTAATAGACTGATCAAGTCTCGTAACATAATTCAGACTGTCCTCAACTCTAGGCTCTGCTAAAGAACTTAATATCTCCTTTTCCGGAGCATCTATTGACATACAAAAATTCGCACCAACCATTTGATCCCGTTCTGCGTTTCTTTTACCCTGTTTCCACTGTTTTTCGTCTGTACAGGTCAGAAAATGCACCCATACGTCGCAAGTGCTTAAAACAGGATGTCGACACATATAGTTTATGAATTCTTGCAACTGTGCTCTCCTATGCTCTATAAATTGTTCTTCGTACCTAAAAGGATATTATTGCAGTTGTTAGTATAAACCATAATATATTTTCCACAATAAATTCATTATCTTCGAAATATTATAACTTATATATAATAACTTACCTGCCAGATACTTGCTTATCCGGTAAAGGAGGAATAGCTATCACATTAAATTTGGCAGTTAATCTGTCATGGAGCCAATCAAAATGTTTATACCGTCTGGAAACTTCTACGTTAGAAAAAGACGGCGTCAGTTGATAGGCTATAAAAGATTTAAGACCACCCATTTTGGTAGCCTTCTTAGGAGATGCGATTTGCACGGTATAAGGATTGGAAATAACTTCCCACCTACCTAGGATCTCATCGCTATCTCGAAAAATACGGAATTTTTTGTTTGATACAGGTAGGTTGCTAGAGGTTCCTAAAATTAGAAACAATTTAAGAATTTCGTTATGTCCTAACATTTAATAAATTATTTTTATACAATAAATACACTCTTTTAATAAAATATTTTACAATGGTGTTGTTTCCCTAAACAAGTTTAATTATTGGCTATTTAATTTTTTTAAATATTCATTAACTGCTTTGTCAAAATAAATACATTTCATCCATATCATGTCATTAATTATTACTCCATTAGTTACTAATAAGTAAATCCAAAAGTATTTATTTAAAGCCAAGGAAGATAATTGCTATGAAACCTTAATAATATATAGGTATATTCATTCTTTACATATTTTTATTATATTATCAATAAATATTGTTAGTTAATCTAGTTCAATGACACATATAGGGTGGCCAGCATGATAATTTTTATCTACTGACAAAAACTATTATCATTGTGTGCTTTCCAAAAACTTGTATATAAATACAATATTATTATTTGACGTCCAGATTTATTTTAAAATCTATGTTGCAAAACAAAAAACTTTAATAACCAGATTTGTATAAATAGCTACGATGTCTTTCACCAGAGTTGCCTAAACAGAGATTTTACTAATGCCATTAACTAATCACAAAATCTACTGCTCTTCTGAGTGTGAAAAACAAGCAACTGATAATAGTAGAGAGAAAAAAGAAAAAAGATATTTTAATTCAGGAATTAAAGAACAAATATGACACACAGATGGAAAGCTTGCATAAAACCATCGGGGAATTAAATCAGAAAAAGGGACAATTAAAACAAATGCTAAAAGGCAAGGAGAATGAGCTAGATGATAAAATGAGAAAAGATGAAGAAACCAAAGAGCCCTTTGTTGAAAGAAAAACTTAGAAAACAAAATAATGAAAAAGATTCTTATATAAAAAGACTAAAAAGGAACACTCAATATTTTAAAAACGATGTTACAGAAGTAGAAGAATCATGGAATAAAAAAGTAAAGGCACAACAAGAGACTAAATAACTTGAATGATAAACTTCAGAAAATACGAGAAACAAATGAAGGTCTAGTTTTGAAACTTGAACAAAGTGCAAACCAAATTAGAAGATTTTTAAGCTCGCACTACAATATAATAATATCTTTAAAGGACATAAAAGTATCAAGATAATCATTTTATATAAAAACGAGGGACATAAACATTGACTTTGAACTAATTGAATTAAAATTGAATAATAAGATAAGTTAATATGATTATTGCTGTTGCTAAAGTATTGGAAAAAGCTGTATATGAGCAAATGATAAATTATTTAGAAAATAATGCGAGTATCAATCGGGATTCCGCAATAAATATAGTTGTTAAACGGCCCTACAATGTGTTTTAAGCGACTGGAAAAATAATATTGAAAATTACCTCTTACAGTTGCAGTATTTTTAGATCTACAAAGAGCATTCGAAACGAATAGGCTACCTAAATAACAGGTAACAAAGTACTTGTGCAATATGCTATATAGGTCGGTTCTAAATGTTCTCGTGTGAGTTACAGAGCCGATTAATTATTTTGGAGAAGTCAGTAGAATGGACTAATAATAGATCATCCTTGTTATTAAAGTATACATGAATACGACCAGTTCGTCAATTGCAGCGAATTGTTTAATAAGATTGGGGACATAAATCATGTCAAAAACAAATATTTTTAACCGTAAATCTGAATACGTCTCTGTGTAGGTACGCGCTTGCATAGAAATAGAACCTTATAAAAAATTTCGACGTCACGATGCAGACGCGCAAGAAATTTAAAATTCTTATCAAGAAATTTTCCATAAATCTTCTTCAAAGGGAAGTGTGATTCAAGAACCACCGATTACAAGTCCTTTCTCTTCAAATCAGACGAATAGTTTTATTCTGAATATCAAGAAATAAATGGTGACGTGTCTATTCAAAATTGCATGCACAACTTAGGTACATTCATAATTCAGTATCAATAATTAGAACATTATCTAATAAATTGGGAACATGGAATTATGTCTAGCTAGCTAAAAATATTACAGGGTTCAAAGAACATATAATTTATTTTGAAATGAATATATTACACGGTATGGAAATCACTTATGAAATAAAATATCTTGGTGACATCGCCCCTTTAATTTGGCGTGTTGAAATTGTTGCCAAATTGATTCATATATATTATATTTCATATCAGTGCTTTCGATTTGTTGATTAAAAAAGGAACGTCGAACAGACATTCATAATTATAAAAATTCAATGAAAGCATCCTCAAGAAAGTTCTAACTATTTTAAATAATTTTATTTTGAGATATTCATTTCGACCCGATATTTTGTTCAACATACATGGTTGTGGTTGTATCTAAAGGAACATAGGCGTACAAAATGTTAATATATCTATTCCACTTCTCTTACTATACATTTTTTTCAATTTTATTAATAAAAATAAACTATATCAAAAGATACTTCTAAAATCGAAAGCCTATGAAGTCCCTTTAAATTGGCGCTATTTCTCCGACTGTCATATGTCATTCTCCTGGCATATGCCCCTTTAACCAATAAAATATAGACAGGGAATGTATCATGAGAGTGATACCTTACTGAAGGTAATTGTATGGACATTCGATGGTAAGAATATAAATGCCCCAGATCCCAATATCGACTCTCTTAAAAAAGTCTTACACAATTCTAATCGTGACACCTGATATGAAAGCTATAATAATGTATCACCAATATCAGAATCTTATTGGTTAGTGAGGCAGAGGAGAGGGGAATGACCTGTGACAGTTAGATGTGGTTAAAAGAATTCCCCTTAGATTAAAAATTAAAATGTTATAGCGTTTTTTAAATAGCTCTAAAACAGCGCCAAAAATAAATTTATTCTGTGATTTGCACACTTACTTAACTACAATGCCGACCGTAAACAAAATATATACCAATCTAGAAAGAGATAGAACGCATAATTAAGTGAAAACGCTCTACAAGCATTTACTTTGTGTTTGTTATATTCACACAGTAACAACATTTTTAACATTCGAGTAACAGAAAAGTGTACTTATTTAATTTGCGGTAATATCTATATATCTTATTTTCAAATTATATATTTTTTATAATTTTCCATTGAAATACTAATCGGCGGTACTTAAATACATTTTTAATATCAAAATATAACGTATAATCAAAGAGGTTAGTTCTTTTTGGTGAAACAAACATTAAAATTAAAGAGAAATCGATTTGTTGAGCAACATCCTGAAGTATAAACAAAGGCGAATCTTAAAAATGGGCTTATTTCCGATTTCCAATTATATGTGTTATCTAATGTTGTCTAACAAGATTTTTAAGTCAAATGCAAATTAGTAAAAATGAATTTAAAAAAAATTCGAGTGAAATAATATATTAATATGGATAGGAGAGAAGCATATTAAGAATGATTTGAATAAGGACAATTTCCTGACCATAACAGAATTTTATATAAATAAAAATTTCGTTGGTCCCAATATGAATAAACCAAGGAAATTTTTATTTATATAAAACTAAGAATTACGTAATTTTGTCCAAAAATACAGATAACATGGTAAAATAGCACTTACTTCTTTTTACAACAAATTTCTTCATTTTAAAAACCACCAAGTAATAGAAAACATTGATTTAACTTAATATTTAATGAATTATTGGATTTTGCTTTTTAATTCTGAAAGCTTCATGGACGTTAAAGAATTTGAAACACTCCATATAAAAAAACGTTGAGCAATTTGGGCAAAAAATTCATATCATGTTGAGTCAGAATGTATCAATTAATCTGAATGCATGTTTTTCCTCTCTTCTTAATAATGTTTTGCCTTTTACGAACTAAAGATAATATTAAAAAATATATTTATAATATACAGGGAGTCCCATTTAACAAGATCCACGTAGAATAGCTTTTGATAGGGTTACTGTTTTTAAAATCGCTAAGACACGTCAGTTTTCCCCATTCGTCTGTTTCCAACTTCTTTGTTTCACATGTCTCCAAGATGAAAATTGTGTATCACATCATAGAAAAGATATTTTTTTAGGGAAATTAAACAGTAATAATATGAATCCCAGACCCCGATCCTAACCCTCTTACAGGAACAAAAAATGTTACACAACAAAAAGTGTGACTCCTTATATGAAATCCAATATTGTTAATAATTCAATGCACCTTATAAAAAATAACTAAATTAAAAATAAACTCAAATTATCAAAAAATATATCAGTGTTGCAAGATACAAATTTGGTTTGGTGAGATACTGATAAAAATAAAAAATGAAGTGCCTTATGACCATGGATCATTTTAAACGGGACACTTTATAAGTTAAATAAATGAATAGAAAATGCAACAAAGCCACAGTTGACTAAATGTATTTCTGCAAGTCTTAAATAAACTAAACCTTAAAAAAAAACTATAGTAGGTCAAACAAAATTCCCTTGAATAAAAACTTTTGATTCGATAAAAAAAAAATTATTTTGAACTTGTTTATTTAAAAATAATATGTAAACTTCGAATTAAATTATAATTGTCTAAATAACATTTTATATTATTACATCAAAAGAATCTTCTTTATGTGGCCAAGGTTAAAAAAGAACCTAATAAAATTTATAGTTTAAAACTAAATAAATATTATTAACTAATAAAATTCAATAGAAAACACTTGACATTTGACATTAATTGACCTCTATTTGAATAATACATAAAAAATTTCAATTGACAGTACAATGAATGTGATACTAAAATTGTTTCAATATTAATAACTAGAAAGATTTTTGTTTTCATATTTAATATTTAAATAATTATTTGTAAACTCACCCCTTTCACAACAAAGCATAATTTACTTGTTAAATTCTAAGAGACAAAAACGATTCCATATTATAAAAATATCTTTAAAAAACCAATAACAAACCTGTAGGAGGCTGCTTTGTCAAAGTTTAAATGAATGAATCACAAATACTTAAGGTACCTGTTTAATAAAAAATGTAAACATGTTTTAATGACTCATTCTTTTATTTTTCACTTTGT